GGGGTTGTTCCAACACCTGCTGTGACCTCTGGGGTTGTTCCAACACCTGCTGTGACCCCTGGGGTTGTTCCAACACCTGCTGTAACCCCTGGGGTTGTTCCAACACCTGCTGTGACCCCTGGGGTTGTTCCAACGCCTGCTGTGACCCCCGGGGTTGTTCCAACGCCTGCTGTGACCCCCGGGGTTGTTCCAACGCCTGCTGTGACCCCCGGGGTTGTTCCAACACCTGATGCAACCCCTGGGGTTGTTCCAACACCTGATGTGACCCCTGGGGTTGTTCCAACACCTGCTGTGACTCCCGGAGTTGTTCCATCACCTGCTGTGACCCCAGGGGTTGTTCCAACACCTGCTGTGACCCCCGGGGTTGTTCCAACACCTGCTGTGACCCCCGGGGTCACTCCGACCTCACCCACGACCCCCGAGGTTGCTGTGACCTCACCCACGACCCCCGAGGTTGCTGTGACCTCACCCACGACTCCTGGGGTCACTGCCCTGCCGGCGCCGGCGTCCCGCGAGGCGTCAATGTCAGTGCCACCTGGCGGTGAGCTGGAGAAGGTAAGGAATCGCTTGGGCACGCGGCCGTGCGACGGCACCGCCGCCGCGTCCCTCAACAGTGGCTCCTCCTCGTGGCAGAACTGCGTCTCGAACTCCTGGACGATGTTGCGAACGGAGGCGACGCGCTGCATCTCGCCCGGATGCTCGCTTGTCGTCGCCTCGCCGCCGCCCGCGCCGTCCGTGCTCGACTCGGTCTCGGTGACTCCCATGATGACGAACGTTGGCGTGGGCGGACTGCCGACCTGACGACACGAGGCATAGTGTGAGAGACAGCGCGCGTCCACGATAAACATACAAGCAATGAGAGAGTATGGAGTGATGAGATATATATATAATGTGACCCCTGGGGTTGTCCAACACTGCTGTGACCCCGGGGTTTGTTCCAACACTTGCTCGTAACCCTGGGGTGTTGCAACACCTGGGCTGTAACCCCGGGGTTGTTCCACACACCTCGCTGTAACCCTGCTGGGTTGTTCAACAGTCTGCTTGACCCCGCTGTTGTTTTCCAACACCTGCTGTGACCCCTGGGGTTGTTCAACACCTGCGCTGACTCTGTGGGTATGTTCCCAACACTGCCGTGACCCTGGGGTTATTCCAACACCTGCTGTGACCCCTGGGGTTGTTCAACACTCTGCTGTGACCCCTGGGGGTGTTCCAACACCTGCTGTGACCCCTGTGAGCGGTGAGCGGTGAGCGTACCTCCTTCTGCTGCCGGACCGTTCCGATGCCCACCGGCACGTAATGCTTCTGCATCGACCCCGTCACAATCGCAGGTGGCGCCGGCAGCTCCCTCGCCTCGCCGCTGCTCTCCCCGCAAGGCGGTGCCACCGTCGTCGCGTCGTCCGCCATCTTGTTCTCGTAGATGACGTCTGGCGCTAGCAGCGTTTCGTCGTCCGACCGAGGCATCTCGCTCAGATCGTACAGCCTCGCCTCGATGCTCTCTGTCAATGAGGGCGCCAAGTGTGCCCGCACAGAGTTCGGTTCCGCGTTGTTGTCGTGCGACAAGGTTTTCGCCGCCGATGACGTCGGTACGGTTGAGCATTGTTTCGCGTCCGCTCTCGAGTCTGTAGCAAGTCTTTCGAGATCTACGACGAAAAGACACATTAGCCCAACCACTTAGCTTAGCATGCGAACACCACAAGCAAATGTACCTTAGCATGCTATGAATATTACACTAGTACCGGCACCATCGCTGCAATCTGTGCATTTATCTTTTTAAATTATTTTTATTTTTAATTATTTTTATCGATTATCTATGTCTGTCTTTGGTAGCATCAGCGCACTGAATATTCGCCAACTTTACCTAACATTTGTTGCCGCACTCGCCCGGATGTCGGCGGAGCCTCGACGTCCCCATTCCTAGATGGCGCCACGCACACGACACTGTTACCGGCGCCCTCCGTACCCTTTTGTTTCTCATCGACGGGAGTGAAGGTTGCCCGGGACGACGGTGGCGCCCCCCCTTGCATATCCATTCGAAGACTCCGCGATCGCTTGACAGGGCGCGTCGCCACGTCCGCTTCCATTGCCGCGATGACGCGTCCCTGGCAGGCGTCGTCGCCGAGCGAGTTGGCACGCTGCAGCAGCGCCACCTGGGCGTCGAGTCCCCTCACACGCGTGTCCTGCTGCTGCGTCAGTCGCTCATAATTCACCGTCTGCTTCTTCACCGTGCCGGGACTCCAGCGCGGCGACGGTGGCGCCCTCCCGGGGCTCACCGGCGCATCGACCCCCGCCACCGTTGCGCCGGGCGATGGAGGCGACAAGGTAGAGGGCGCCTGCGTCGCTGCCGCACCCTTCTCCTCCGGCGCAGCCGGGTTCGGCAGGGTGAGACTGGGTGGGCGCGCGCGAGCGAGCTTGCTGAACGGAGGACCGGAATCCGCCAGGTCGCCGGGGTCAGGAGGCGACGACTGAACGCTCGCCGCGAACATCATGACGACAGACTTGGCGTCGCCGCGCCTCGCGTGATTGCTGCACTCACGCGTCACGTCGGGCGTCGCGACCCCCGGGTCAGCGCCGTCGTCGTCGTCGTCGCCCGCAGCGACGTACCTCACGCGACTCGCGTGAGAATCCAAATCCCTCTCGCAGTCGACGGTCACGCGGTCGCAGTCAGCGGTCAGATGCACGCCACCCACGACCCCTGGGGTTGTTCCAACACCTGCTGTGACCCCTGGGGTTGTTCCAACACCTGCTGTGACCCCTGGGGTTGTTCCAACACCTGCTGTGACCCCCGGGGTTGTTCCAACACCTGATGTGACC